TTTGATTTAAAAACAACAGCAACAACAAACCACCATTACCTGCCCTCCTCCTCGGGCAGCCATCAGAGACGTCTCTGTGTATTTCGTGAGTCTTACACGACCCACATTTTAGCACCTGATTTTCCTCACCGTAAAGTGACTTCTCAATCTAAGTAGCATATCTAAGGGCATATACTTTATTTTCCTAATTTCCAAAGGAAGAAAACTGAGATCCCGAAAGACGAGGAGATTTCTCTCCCCCCCCCCCCTCCCCCCCCCCCCCCCCCCCCCCGCTGGAAGCCAGCTGTAGTAACAGATACTTGCTTAGCTCTATTTCGGCTGAGCCTCGGACAGAAGTCCAGCAGGCACTGGACAGGAGGTAGACGTAGGAGAGACTAAAATCACCAGAGGGACAGTCTGCCATCTCCCCGTAATAAAGAGGATATAAATTTTGAACAGAGTTCTCTAGGGGAATAGTCAAATTCAAGACAGACTGGCCCCTTATCTCTTTTTCCACGCTGCTTTATTTTTTTTCCCCTCAATGTATGCAAGGCTAACGCAAGAGAATATGTCCAAGTAAGATGTTTTAAAATGCATTTTAATCCACGAGATGTGAACTTTCTTCTCTTGGAAGAACGCTTTCTCAGAGGGGGCATCCACTTTCCACAGCGCCAGCTTGCCTTGGAGGCTGACACCCTGACCAGAGCGAGCCCATGCCAGAGACTCCCAAGGCAGTGAAAGATTGTGTTTAGAAACTCACCCAGAGCCAGGCCCTGATGGCTCATGCCTGTTACCCTAGTTCCTCGGGAGGCTGAGATCTGAGGATCATGGTTCAAAGCCGGCCCAGGCAGGAAAGGCCATGAGACTCTTATCTCCAATAAATCACTCAGAAAACCAGAAGTGGCGCTGTGGTTCAAGTGGTAGGGTGCTAGCCTTGAGCTGAAGAGCTGAGGGACAGCGCCCAGGCCCAGAGTTCAGGCCCCACGACCGGACCCAAAAAAAAGAAAAGAAAAAAGAAACCACCCAGAGACACCATCTCAAACAACAAGCCACCATAGGTGGTGCATGCTCTGTTTCTCAGCTACAAGGAAAAGTGTAAATAAGACAGAGTCAATCTGAAGGCAGCTGTGGGCAGATAAATAACCAAAGTGAAAAATAGGAACAGGGGTTTGGCTCAAGTGCTAGCACACCTAGCTAGCAAGGGCAAGGCACGGAGTTTAGATCTTAGTGTCACACACACACGACAAAATGAGGCAATATTTGCACCAGATGCAGTGATTCACTTCCCTCAGCACTCTTTGTACCACTGCTTTATATACGCTCACATGACTAAGCCACCTTCAGTGCATTCTTAGACCCTGATCCATTCTCAGTACAACCAGAGGGGCTCCCAGCATCTAGCATAGCTAAGGAGCCAAGGATAGCACCATTCCACTGGACAGGAACTTCCCGTGTAAGAATGACCTGGGCGTGGCTAGACACACCCCAGGCTGGAGACGTGTGCACAGAGATTCTCATTTCATGGGGTTTGGCCATAGCTTAGTCAACAAAGAAAGAAAGAAAAACAAAAGTAAAGGTTCGCCAAATGCATACAAATACGCAGCTCAGGTGCAGAGCCCATTTGCTAAACTCCAGCACTATTCAAAACCTGGGGTCTTGCATTCAAATCTGTATTTACTGAGACAGGACAAAGCTCAGGCAAGGCTTAGAATAAAGAGTGAGACCCTGGTGCCAGTTTCCCCTTTTCTCCATAGTGGCCCCACAATGCAAAGCATTGCATATTAAACTTCTGATTTGTTCGGGGGCGGTAGATTTGTTCAGCTAGGTGTCACTCATCGTGGATTATCATGATCGCTCCAGTTACTTGGAGTCCTATTTTTCCCAGTGAGACTCAGCGGTGAGTTACCTAGGGTCCAACTCTCTCTGAAAGCTCAGAGGAAAAGGAGCAAAACCACGCAGTATAAAGCGGTGCCATTTCGCGGCCATGGCCCCAGGACCTACCTGGAGCAGCCCCATCTCCTGGATTCCGCAGCCCCAACCCCTTTTCTGGCAGACGCTTCCTGCCGATCACACCTGTGATCGGCTGGTGGAAGCCTAGGTTTTGGGGAGTGTGGGGACCACACAGACTGATCTGGAATTCACGAGCTGGGTACTTTCCAGACAAGATCTTTCTGGAATGCCATGGGATTATGTGGATTAAAAATAAATAATTAAATAAAACAGGTCAGTCACTGGCGGTTCACGCCTGTCATCCTAGCTACTCAGGAGGCTGAGAGCTGAGCCTCCCAGTTCAAAGCCAGCTTGGGCAGAGAAGTCTGTTGAGACTTTTAAAAGCCCAGAAAACCAGAAGTGGTGCTATGTGACTTCAAGTAGTGGAGCGCTAGCCTGGAGCAAAAAGAGCTCTGGTTCAGCGCCCAGGCCCTGAGTTCAAGCCCCGCATCAGACAATTAAACAAACAAAATGGTACAAAATGAATGCATATATATTATTGGCATTGAAAAAAAGAAAACAAAAAGGAAGAAAACCAATGTTTGTTTGTTTTTGGTAACTACAGAGTTGATGCTGTGCCCTTCCCATGCTCACACCTTTTGTTCACCCTTATAGAGCTATACCAGTTTCATGATCTGACACTGTACCATGCCCAATCGTTTGAAGATAGTGAGCTACCTAAGGGGAGACGAGCCCTTTGCCTTTAGAGAGTTACAGAAATACTGTGGGATAGGTAGGCCCAGGGTCTTGGGAGGATTGCCAGGTAGAAAGAACAAGTTTAGAAAGAAAGAAAGAAAAAGAAATCATGGAGAAGGGGAGAGGCAAGGTATATATATATATATATATATATATATATATATATATATATATATATATATATATATATATATATATATATATATATATATATATATATATATATATGTATATATATGTGACCAGACATAAAGAGGAGGGGACAGGAGAAAGGAAGGAAGGAAAGAAGGGAGGAAAAAGGAAGGAGGGAGGGAGGGAAGGAAGGAAAAGAAGGAGGGAGGAAGGAGGGAGGAAGGAAGGAGGGAGAGAAGGAAGGAAGGAAGGAAGGAAGGAAAAGGGGGAGGCAAAAATGACCACATTTTGAAGTGTTAAATTTCTGGAGTCCAAACAGTTAGATCCAGGAACACTTTTTAAAGGTTAGGGGAAAGTTCTGACTTACTTATTTATAATAAGCTTCTCCTTGACATATTTCTTTTCTTCTCTATTCACTCAGTCACATGTTACATCAAATGGCTTTTCCTCACAGCTAGCACCCTGGATACAGACATGAAACCGAGCTAGTCATCTCCTCTAGAAGTAGAGAGTATGGACTGAACCACATTACATCACTAATTCGCAAATCCCCTTCTCTAAGATATGTGTGAATGCTTATTCCAAAGACCCTGCCCCCCCACCCCCACCAGGGCAATCAGGGGGCCAGGTTTGTTTGTGCTGGTGTTCTGATCATTCTGCAGACACAGCTCCTGTTAAGGGCTTATTTAGTCAACACTGAGAACAACACACTTGCAGCCAGACATGTCAAATCTTTCTGCCCCATGAGCAAAGGTAAAGTCAACACAAATATCCCATCCAAAGGTTTGCTTTGATTTCAGGGATACTAACTTTGTTGTTCCTCCAACTAGAAAGTTTGAAGCCAGAATAATCTGAAGGTTCAAAAGTCTGAGTCCAAGTTTAAAGGGTGCATAGTATTAGTAGATAGATAGATGCATAGATAGATAGATAGATAGAGCTCAAAACAAACTTCATTTTGAGAGGCGATGACCGATTTTAGTCTTTGATCTCCTCCAGAACCTGTATACTTTTAGCATTTATTGGTACAGAAGCAAGGAGAATGTTCACTTCTATGTTCAAGTCCAGTACATAGTCAGATGGTAGCTCCCTTTATATTCCAAGGTGCATCTCTTTCAACAGTAAAACTTCCTTAAGATGTTTTAAGAAATGCTCAATCACTAGATCCTTTCTGAAACACTGGAACAGTTGGACCAAATGACTCACAGTAAAACTACACACACCCCCTCCCCACACACATACATCTTGATTCTTGATCCTTAGGCACTATACAATCTAACAGCCGATTTCAGTGTTTCTCTGCTCAAACTTTGAGATATTTAAGATCCTTGCCAATCTCACTGGGGCGTTATTATCTGCCTGACATCGCTATTCTTATTTTCCAAAGAAATAAACAGATTCCCTGAACTGGAACACATTACATCATGGAGTTGTCACCACTGGAAACATCTTAAGAGAGTTTTATCATCTTTTTGGATTTACTAAATTTACAGAAATGGATAAAGTTGCATTTTATATCTTAATTTTCTTTCCAATATTGCATCATTAAAAATAATTCGGCAAGACAGGGTTGACTTCAATGGATGGGATCTCTTGCCTTTTAAATATATATATGTGTGTATGCATGTATACATACATATACATATATGTATATGTGTGTATACACACACACATATATAGTTTGATGGAATTATTAGCCACAACTTGACACCATGTAACATTCTCTTCTGGAATAAAAAGACATTTGTCTAGATAGTACACTACAGTCTGGAAGTTAATGACATTCTTAACTAGCTGCACTGTATATTCCTTTTTTCCTAGTAGGACTCTGATTTGTGGTGTTTTTTAAATTGCAATCTCCATGCAAGCACACCCTAGCCTTAGAAATGTCCCTTGGCATGACCATCACTGGTGGGTAACACGTAGCATTAATATTCTCATGCAACAGCTTGTCTGAGAGCCACCTGCTCATGAGTTTGTGTAAGAAGTCCTGCATGCCTATCTCATCTTTCTAAGCTCTGCTCTAAGTCCAAGAACACCTTTCCTTGTAACATCCATTCAGATGCAGCCTCCTCCCCTCCCCCTCTTCCTCCCCTCCCCTCCCTCCCCCTTCATCTGTGCACTTGGAACCAATCGGCAGAGAGCACGTTTCCCCCCCCCCCTCCCCACTAAGCAAGCAGTATTGTGAATTTTATCTTCTTTTCCAGAAATCAGTTCGTCTTCGTTGCAACCGATGAAATATCTTGTAACACCTCTACAGGTAACAAACATTGCTACGTCCTGATGCATCATCTGAATCTCAGTATCCTTTTTTTTTTTTTCCTCCTCTCTCCTCTTCACATGGCTGCAGTTGGTCATGCTAGAAAGTTTAGCTTTAAAAAAAAATTTTTTTTTAAAGGATCATATACCCTTTGGAATATAATGGAAGCCTTTTAGACTCTTGCTTGTATTATTTTTTTAAGGCATTAGACATTTTTTTTTGCTAACTTCTGATGCTTTCTATTTCTAATTTGAATAATACATGATCCAGAAAAACCATGCTGTGTTGAGCATATCCATAATAAAACCTCACAGAATAATCGGTATTCTTCTAATAAAATACTGGCCGAGGGTGATTAAAGATGCCCGTGTGTGGCTTCCATAGTTCTGATTTAAAAACAGCTTTTTTTTTTAAAAAAAAAAAACCATATTCAATCTGGGGTTGGCAGAGATTGAAACGTGAATTATTTGAGGTCTATATAGACTATTGTAGGCCCTGAAAGTCTGCACCTATGAAGCCAGGGGCATTAGGAAATAGAATTACCATGCTCTTGTTAAGGAGGGATCTTCATCCTATCTGCGGAAGACAGTTTCCTCCCCTTCCATGTGTCTCTCAAGTAACAAAACTTAGAGAGAGAGGAAGGGGTTTTGTGTTGCTTTGTTTTGAAGGCAGAACCTTCGCAAATAGTATCTGCCATAGTTGCATGAAATGTCCGTCCAAATAATGCCTGCTCCTTTTGCTTGATGTGGTTCGGAACGATTACATCTGGATGTTTTCGGTAGCATGGGATTACTTGCCTAAATGCCAAGATAGGTGAGTGCTGAATGCCAGCCTTTTCTGTGTCTTTCTTTTGATGCTTAAGGGCCTCCATTATGGATGAAATCATTAGAGAGATCTCACAGGTGGATTGCTTTGGGCCAATGATGTAATAGCTTATTGACCTGTGACTGAGTAGGCCGTGATCCACAGAACCATGAACCCCAGCCTGACAGGCAGACACCCACACCGGTCACCGGGCGCCCTTAGCCAACAGCGCCGTACAGGAAGGCTCGTTTGCTAAGGCTCCCACCACTTGTTTGGTGATCATGGGAAGGAGGCAGGGCTTAATCAAGAACATGAAACCTGGGGTTCGCTCAAATAAATCCCCACTTCGGGGGCATTTATACAGTCAGACAAGTATTTTCCATGGTTTGTCCCTAGAGTTCAAGAGACATGCGTGGGACGACTTGGTCCGTTTGCGTTAAAGCCCTTTGGTGACGGCCCTGCTATTTCCCACCCTGAATCTCCAGCCTTCATGATCTCTGCTCCTTCCCTCTTCTAAGAGCAGGGACCAGCCTTGAACACCCTACTAGTTCCTAATCGTTGAAGATGGATTGCTAATCACATTGCTCAGAGTGGCAGTGGATTCTTCCTGGGATATAAGCGCGGTTTGACATTGCTAGGGCTTTCGGAGCATGCAGTAAGCTGTGGGCTGAGAGGAAGGGTGGAGGGGACGGGTAGGGGGCGGTGCGGGAGAGGGGTTTAAGATGTGACTGGTTGTATTTCGTGGACGCACTGGCATTCCAGAATCTGGAACTTCCCAGTTAAACCCTGTCCGTGTCCCATCGTGTCTGAGGTATTTTGACGTCACAGGTAAAACATGGAAAAGTTCCAACACGAAATGATAGATATCGGCTCCACTTCATGAATTAGCCAACGTGCATTCATGAATGTAAGAGATCTGACATGCCACATTCCAAAAAGAAAAGGAAAGAAAAGATCAGGCCCGTGCAGTAGCTCACACCTGTAGTCCTAGCTACTTGAGAGGCAGAGGTTAGAACTGCAGTTCAAGGCCAGCCCAGGGGAAAAAGCTCATGAGATGCCCTCTCAACCAACAAAAACGCTGGGTATGATGGTGTAAGCCTGTCATCCTACCTATGGTATCAATAGGAGGACCGAGGTCCAAGCCAATCTAAGGCAAAAAAAAAAAAAAAAAGATCCTAGTTGAGAACAATAATAATAATGCACAAAGTTTGTGCTCGATTGTTAGAGCCCCTGCCTAGTGAGCCTGAGGTCCTGAGTTTGAATCCCGGTATGGTCAAAATCATCTTTGTAAGCGGTCATAGACGTGTGTGTGGGATGGCCAAGCGCTGCCGCTCACCTTCTACAGTCTGCTCAGTAAAATCCCTCGTCAGTTGCTAGGGCTTGCCTTTCAAGCCCAGAGAAGCATCCCCGTGCTTCGTGAGATCCCGCTTGAACGTGGAAGTCGGGATGGAGTGTGGGAGCAGAGACACCGACATCGTCAGGACGTTGGTGCATCTCGTGGCCAGCCCACCCTCCAGATAGAATGACCGTGGAGATGAGCGCCACCCGGTAGCCCGGGCGAATCCCGCACATGCACATCTCCACCAAGCACCGGCTTGGTGCGTCTCTGACCTCTTGACCTCTGGGAGGTATCGGGGTTTGTCAGAAAGCAAGCTTGTGGTACTAGAGGGTAAGCCCGGGGCCTTGTGCTTGCTAGGCAGGCACTCTACTACCTGAGCCAAATCCCAGAACCCTGGCTGCTTTCGTTGTTTTTGAGGCAAGTGTCAGGCATGTGTGCTGGGGCCGTCAACTTGGATTCTCCCGTTTGCATGGAGCTTGGACGGCAGGCCCAGGCCGCCATACCCACCTTCTGTTTCTCTGGAGCATCTCGAACCGACTGTCCAGGCTGGCCTCAGACCACGGTCCTCTCAATCTCAGCCCCCCGAGTAGCTGGGATTTACAGATGTGAGTCTCTGCACTTGGGAAACCCTCCATTTTTAAATTTGGAAAGTTCAATGAGCTGGGCTAGGGGTTGGATCAGAGATAGGGCTCATATGCTCAAAAATTAGAAATGTAGAAGGACCAAGGCCAGGTGTGATGTTACACACCTGTAATCCCAGCGAGTTGGGAGGCAAAGGTAAGGAGGATCGTGGGCCCAGGCTGGCCAGGCCTCCTTCCCCCCACACGCACAGAAAAATTATAAGACCCTATTTGAAAAATAACACAAAAATGGGCTGGAGGTATAGCTCACAGGGTAGGGCACCTGCCTAATAAGTACCATCCCCCAAGCTCAAACCCTCGTACTGCCAAAAAAAAAGAGAAGCAATGGACATGTAGCAGTATTTGTCTGGAAATAGTATGGTTATGATTTCCCTCAGTTTATTCCCTTACCTCAATCTGCGCATGTCCACACATGTGTATGCACGCGCGCGCACACACACACACACACACACGTGCGTGCACACATGCATACTAAGTACCTACAAATAAACCTTCAGATAAGCTTTAGGGGAAGTTTCCAAGCCGGCCATTCTTGTAATGGATTCTTCAGCAAGCCCCAGCTCATTGTCTTTCCCACATTGGGGCGATTAGCTTGTTCAGCAAAGTTGTCATGCAGCAAATTGATTTGTGGTTAATTGGTCTGTTTCCAGTAAAGTGGACTGTGTATTATACGCGGGAAGCATGGGCTGCCAAGGGAGTTATGTGCACAGAGGAACTTAGAAAACATAATCTTTGCTTTTTGTTGCGAGCTGACGGGGTACACAGCTCGGTTCCAAGCCCGTTGCATGCAATAACAATAAGATGCCCAATATCTCTATCCCTATCTATCTATCAAGATAAGGTGTCCTTATCAAGTGCCTGGTGAAAATTAAAGAAGAGCTAACTCTGAATTGTTAGCCTGAGCGGGAGAAGGTGGAGTTTAAAAACTTTCTGTGCAAAATTTAAAAACAAGCAGCAACCTGGTTGGGGGGGGGGGGGCGCATCCAATTTTGAAGGAGGATGGGAATCATGAAGCCAAACAAATGTACCACCTAATTTCTGAAGATGAGCGCTGTAAATCCCAGCTAAGAAGGTGAGGGGTTAACAGGGTGCAGAAATGCCAGTGCTGGGTGGAGTGGAATGGATGGTTGTCTCCCCTTCCATTCCCACGCATGCCCTTTCTAAAGGTCGGCTTACATGTGGGCCTGTGATCCAGATGCTTTAAGGGGGGGGGGGGGGGCGGCGCTGGGTTGGTTCTTCTAGTATCTGTATTTCAAGAAACGTTCAGACTCTGGCGACCCGCCCAGCCTCTCTCATCCAGAAGTGTGCAAGTCGTTTAAATGTTGGGGAAGGACACAAGGCCGGGATGGAATTGCGCCCTACAGAATTCATCCCCAAAGCCAAACCCAGCGGAGGCCTCGACTTCCCTTCCCCTTGGCTGGACTGTGAGCAGGAGCGTTCCTTAGCTGGGACACTGCTCCCCAAAATGCTTTTCCCAAAGCATCCAAGATCCTTCCCCGAGGGTGCTTTTCCTTCCTCCGCGGCTGCACACCTGTCCGTGTAGGGCCTCTCGGATCTTCCTGTGACCGTGGAGGACACTGGGCACCAGTTTCTCTTCGTGATGGATGGAGAGGAATCATTGCTTCTGCGAGGTCTGTTCAAAGTCTCGGCCAAGCTTCCCCATCAGGTCTCCTCAAACTGATGCGTGCTGCATTATCCCAGACTTTAAAAGGCCTCAGAGGGGCAGAGTCTGGTAGAGGTTTTATTTGCGTGAAGACACAAAAATGAACTATCGACGCATTTCAGGAATACCCTGTTCATGGCCCTAACCAGAAATCTGCAAGACCGCTGTGGAAGCCCATGTTCAGAGCCACGTTCCCTCGATCCACTGAAGTGGAAGAGTTCTTGTCCTCCTGAGCTCTCTCAAGTCCCATGAGCTGTGGTGATGACTGCGATTTATTTCCCACGGTTTGGTCAGGACCTGATAAGGACACCTTATCTTTTTTTTTTAATAGGGGCATTTTATTGTTATTGCATGCAACAGGACTTGGAACCAAGCTATGTCAGCATTCTGTGCTGTAGTGTTTAGTGGAGAGTATGGGATGGTTGGAAAGAGAGAGAAAGGAAGGAAGGAGGGAAGGAAGGAGGGAAGGAAGGAAGGAAGGAAGGAAGGAAGGAAGGAAGGAAGGAAGGAAGGAAGGAAGGAAGGAAGGAAGGAAGGAAAAGGCAAATACCTGTAACATTTATGCAGTGAAAATGGTCTGATTTGTGGTAGGATCAGGGAAGGGAGTAGGAAAGCAATAGCTAGAAGGGAGTCGACGAAGGACTGGATTGAGGCTGGCTCTGGCCTCTGCCAGTCAGTGGGGATTTCTGAAATCAGAGCATCTAACCCCGATACACAAAGACGGCCTCGCGTGGGATGTGGGCCCTCTTGCAGGAAGTGGGTCCTACCAGCAGTCAGGCGAGCCAAAGCCAATCTCCCTTACGAACTGCCTGGCTTGTGTCTGGAAACGTTCTCGAGCATCTTCTTTCTTCCTCGTGATTGCGGACCAGCCAGATCCAACCATGGGGCCTTTCTAAGCTCCACCCCCTCAAGGTGACCCTGTAGAAGGGTCATTTGCATGGATTCCTTTGGCCAAACTGCTTTTCACTGTGAAGGGTAGGCGCATTCCAGAGTGAATTTCCTCTAAGGGGTGAGCATCCTTCTACCTCCACAGGAATCCTCCCAGAGGCCACCAAGACAGGAAGTGTGGCTATGGAGAGGGGGCAGAACACAAAAGGAATAACAGAAGTGATTGAAGTAGAGAGAGCAAAATTAAATAAATGCACGGCTCCGACTATGCCCTTGTAAGAAAATCCTGCCACAGTTCAGACTCTGGCAGGGGGATTGCAGGACAGGCCTATTATATTATATTTCATTAGCATGCAGCGTGTCTCTTCCCTAGGTTTGGAAAACCCTTAACAAGTCATATTTACATTTCTCAGTAGGGTTCACAAAGCACCTTGACAAATACTGCTTCGTATTTCCTGTCCGCCAGGCAGCAGATGCATTCATTTTACTCCATCATAACCTCAAGTTCAAGTACGGTGATTTAAAGTACATCGGCAACTTGTAAATTAGGTAGCTCTTGACTCTCGGAGCGTCTATAATTGGATTGCTAAAGTGCCATGTGATTGTATTAGAATAGACTCTTGTGGTTGTCTCTAAGATCAAAAGTCCATGTCAGCCATGGGAGACTGGCTGGTGAGTCTCCCTGTATCATAATGTCGGGCATCCTGGCCACGGGACATTGGGTTTTGGGCTACAGCGGGACTCAGACAGAAACCAACCGTTTATATGTGGGGAAACTGAGGCTCAGAGAGAGACTTGCCCAAATTAGAGAAGGCAAGACATTGAGAAAGGCAGGCGGCAGAGAAGTCGACCTTCTTGCCCTCAGCTCTTGCTTCGCCCTGTGCTGTTTGGGTTGTCTCCTGGCTTTAAGTAGATGGTAAGGTCGAAAAGACGAGATCCATCTCCCAGGGGTGAGAAGAGGTGGCATCGCCCTGGGCAGGTGATGCTTGTCCTGAGATAGAAAGGTTGAAAAGAAGGGGCTTCCAGCGGAAGATGGAGGAGTAGCTGGATTCTAAGAAGACACCGGGATCCGTGGAAAAACCACTGAAGGGTCTTAAGGGAAGGAATGAGAGGATTTGATTTATGTAGCTCTATCTTTAATTAGAGAAATGGATGGATAGATGGATATAGATGGATGGATGGATAAATGGATGGATGGAAGTACGGACAGGTAAATTCGATGGGCGCTATTTCCCAGATGTTACTATAAATGGCCAGGGTTGTGGAGTTGGTTTAGATGAAATCTTGCATCAGGGAAGTCATAAGAACCTATGGAGTGCCGAGGACGCATTCCCAAGGTCACCTGAAATTGACAATGGGAGGAATTGGGGGCCAAGTTCTGACTGCCCCCTTCCCACTTTGGTCAGGGATGGCGGTGTGGAAGGTCACACTCCAGCATGGTGACATGTGTCATGTTCCCGCTTCATCCGCGTGAGGCCCTGGGGCGCTGCTGGTCCCTCTTTGGACCCTGCTCAGCCAGCCCCCGGGACAGCCGGCGTGCTGGTGCATCCATTGAAAGGAATGCTTGGGTCCACATCTTCCCTCATAACCTTGCATCTAAATCGGGGTGTCACACAAGGGCGTGTTTAGAAATTAGCATTTGAAAAGAACCCTCCTGGCTTTCCGGTTTGAGCTGACACGGTCCCTTTTCCTCTGTGGAAATGAAATTTATTAATCATAATAGGAAAAAAAAACCCATCCTATTCTGAAGGTAGAGGTCACCCTGAGGAGAAAAGAACTCTGTTCATTTGTGAGGAAGGTAGTTCAAGGCTGATGTACTTTTCTCCTACCATGGGGAAGGGGGAAAAAAATGACAAAAACAGGGCCAAATTATTACCCTGGGTTTTCGGCAAAGGTTGAAAGTCTGCCCGGCGTTAGAGCTCCCCAAGAGGAGTTATCAAGAAAGAATACAGCTGGAGAAGATGGTGGACCATCTACATGTCTCTTCCATGTAGACATTTTTGTCACGGTATTTTGAAGGAACTCCTGTCTCTCCCTTCACATGATCCTGGAGCGTTTTCAGTTCTTCTTTGGAGTTTGTGTTCTGTTCCTATAACCAAGTTTGCCAGATAAGAAATGCTCTAGAACGAATCTGATTGGCTGGTTTCTCTCTAGACTGATGATGGGCCTTTTTGTATTTTTCCCCCCCATGAAGGGAAGATCAGTTGCCAAATGAGGGAGCATCTTCTCAAACCGCCCGCCCCTCCCAGCTTCCTTTTCGGTTTGCTTGAGTGATCTCCGTGAATATATCATTCCTTTACAAACAGACAGACAGACAGACTCAGATGTTTTTTAAGCACACCTCGTACGTTGATCTTACATCTACCTTTCCTCAGGAAAAGGGAGGGTCTGGGATGAAAGTTGGTGTTGCTGTTGTTTCTTTCTCTCGAGAGCAAAAGGACAAAACAGGAATGTGAAAAGAAAAGAAAAGAAAAAGCTGACCGGTTTTTAAACTTTACTGTCAGTTCACATCCTGGTGAGTGAGAGCCCGGAGAAGTCTATGTGGAGAGGAAGGCTGTGTCTGGATTTGAGTTTGTTTTCCTCTGGCACAGACAACAAGGCAGGCTTGGGACGTGCCAGCTTACACACTTGCTTGGAACCCATTCATTTTCCCACCTGGGGTGTAAATAAGAGTCTAGAATTCAGGACATCTGTGGCCCAGGTTCCTTCACCATCCTAAGCTCCGTGGTCAGATCCAGTCAGACTCACAGGAGAGGAGGCTAGGACAAGGGAAGGCAGGACTCGAACCTGGACCCTCTCACTACCCGCCCCTGGCTCTCCTTCCCATCTGTTCTGAAACGACTCTGAGCAATAAGCTTAAGAGGAAAATGGGAGGAAGAGAGAGAGGGGGAGAGGAATAAAGTACATGCAAATGGGATTTCAAGGCATCTAGTGGCAAGCTTCGGGTTGTTAGTGCAAAAGATGTCTCCTGGTGTAACTTTTTCATGGGGGGGGGGCGAAGAGAGGTCAAAATCCCACAGAGGACTCCCCATTCCCAGCCTTGCCCCGGGAGCTGGTGCACTCATGTCCTGGTGCCTGAGAGCCTTGGTTGCTAATGGAGTTCAGCCAGAAGGGGCTCGGGGCCTCTTTCAACTTGCCAGTGAGTCTCCTACCCCACAGCAAAGCCCACTTTGTGTGCAACCAGCTCTAGTGTGCCTGCCAAGGAGCCAGCTGGAAGCCATTTTCTAGCTTGGGCCTCGCCTCGCCTCGCCGCCTCTCCGTTCTTTCCTGCCTTGATCTCTCGTTCTCCCCCTCCATCCTTGCCTGCCTCTTCCTCTCTTGCTCTGCCTCTCGCGCTCTCGTTCTGACCCACCGGCCTCCTCTCAAGGGTACCTTCTCCCCAGATCACTCGCACGGGCGTCTTCATGCCGGGCTTGGCTTCTGGGAAACCAAGCTGCAGAGACTGCATGTCACTCTCGTTAGCATTCAGAACCTCACTGCTCAAACCAGCTCCAGGCAGATGGCGCGGCGGGTCAGACGCGTAGGGGGCGCGTGGTGACGTTGCACGGGGATGTGAGCCAACCCAGAGACAGTCAGCGGTCATCTCTGGTTTTATCTAGCTGGACCCCAGCTTGGGATGGATGATAGTGTGGCGCCCCCCAGACAGACACCCGGTGCGTCCCCGGTCCCTTTTTTTTAATTCCAAAACTGTCATGGAAACCATCCCACCGGCCGCAGAAAGGTGGTGGACGAGAGGCAGATAGGTGGAGGCAGGGCCTGTCAGATGCCTTGTAGCCCCAGGGATGAACAGGTTAGTAGCTCCCAAGTGGCAGGATCCACATCAAGCCTGGTTTCCGTATAACTACGTTGGCCCCTCACGGCACCGAGGAGTCCCCTGCAGCCTTTCTGGACCGCCGGGCCTCGCGCATGGGTGACAGCTATGCCGGGAGAGAAAGCCAGCCTCCCTTGCACGTTAGCCCGTCCCGCCGGGCCCAGGGCTTCCCCCGAGCGCCAGGCATCCTTGACAGTTCTTGTCTCTGTCTCTAAGGAAGCTTCCCGAGCTGCATAAACGTGGTCTTCCTAGAGGGGATGAGACACACACACACGCACACCCGTGTGCACACACAAACACACACGTGTACCCGCTCATGGTCACATGCCACGTGGTGGCTCACACCAGGACAAAGCCACCTGGGGAGGGCTTTTCCCAGAAGAGTGTTCCCTTCCTCTGGTGCCCTGGCTTGTCACGTGGCACGGCCAGCTCTGAGAGGGGTGGGCGCCGGCGGGCGGGACTTTTCTCACGTGCCCCTGGTAGAGCGGGGGCTGGTTCCTGGGTTAGGATGTGCATGCACGGACCCCTTCCCACTGTGTTGGTAGTTTGTATCTTGGGATTGACATCTGCCCGCTGTGGCCGGCCCTTCACAGATCCCATCTTTTTATGTCTGCTTCCCTTTCAGTTACGGACGAGTTTATGCTGCCGACCCCTACCACCACACACTTGCTCCAGCCCCCGCCTACGGCGTTGGTGCCATGGTGAGTGTCATCTTCTTCTTTGTCCTCTCTTCTTCCAGCCTGCCCTGCCCTGCCCTGCCCTTCCCCTCCCCGGCTGGGGGACCTTGGTATGGGTGGATGGTTGACAGCCTCTCACTTTTCCCCCCTTAATTGAATTTGTCTCTTGTGCTAACAGCAGCTAAAATGCCACATTAATCCTCCTAGTAAACTTTGATAAATGTCTTAATTTCTTGGCAATGTAGTGCATGTAAGTTATTATATTTCTAATTTTGCGAGTCTCACCTAGCAGAGCACTTACCTTAATGGAATAATTAGTCATTTTGATAATTAAATCCATCACTAACAGAATGCAGTGTCAATGCACAACTTTTTTTTTTTTTCTTTCCCCCCTCCCCGCCTTTCCCCCTCCCTGGCTGCTCATTCACATAGCCCCAAGGTTCCAGCCCCAGCACAGACTTCCGAGGAGCTAAGCTGCATACTTCCAGACCTCTGCTGTCAGGCAGCTGAGCATCCGACTACCCGCCCTCCCCTTTTACAATTCATGTTTAAAGTCATAGTCACCCAGGAGAGAAAATAGAGAGCGCGATACACGTGTGCTTGTGTGTGTGTGTGTGCGCACGCACACGCGTGCATGCGTGAGTGCACATGTGTGTGTGTGCTTGATATGTAAGCAATTAGAATCAGCTGGTTTTGGGGGGGTGTTTTTTTTTTTGTTTTTTCGGGGGGAGGGTGGGTGGAGATCTTGCTTTTTGTTGGGGGGGGGAGAAGGGTTAAGGGGAGGGCAGGAAAACAAAGAGGGAGGTGAGGGTAGGGGGATTTTTGCCTGTACTCGTTCAAACTTCTATGCACTGAAACTCTTGAGTCCAGTAAGATGCGCCCATCATGTGAGAGCGTGTGCAATCATTATTAAGCCTTGGCATGCAGTTCCTACTTGGATCAAGAATAGCAGTCCTCCTACTGAAAATAGAGCCCTTACCAGGCATTCATTGGAATCACCAATCCTTTTAGTAGAGGAAATTGTTAAAGTGCCACTTCAGGACCATTGAAGGCCATGGCCAGATAATGCTCTGGGAGCTTGGTCATAGAAAAATGCAACCAGGATTTTTTGGAAACCTATCATTTTGCACAAGTGTAATTTTGCATCCAGCCATGCCTCTGTTACCAACCCTCGCTTTATGGCCAGATTTCAGGTACGGACTTGCTGAGCTAAGTCAAAGCATAGGTTTTGATTTTTTTTTTTTTTATCTCGATTCAGCATGCAACAGCTCCCCTTCCACACCTAGTTCCAAGTGAGAAGTATTGGGAAAGGCGAATTGAAGCCATTCAAGAAATCACCTAGAGTCAACCTCAAATGTAGGTTGAGCTGGGTGCCAGTGGCTCATACCTGTAATCCTAGCTACTCAGGAGGCTGAGATCTGAGGATCGAGGTTCAAAGCCAACCTGGGCAGAAAAGTTCCCGTGAGACTCTTATCTCCAATTAACCACTCAAAACTCAAAAACCAGAAGTAGAGCTGTGGCTCAAAGTGGTAGAGCACTAGCCTTGAGCAGAAGAGCTCAGAGAGTGCGGCCAGGCCCTGAGTTCAAGTCCCATGACTGATTAAAAAATGAAAATGTAGGCTAAGATCTCCCCCAAGGGGATAGACTACATGTATTAACCCATCACCCAAGGACACGAATGAAATCAGACTGCCGATCTTTCCATTGTCCAGCTCATCCCGGAGTCCTTGCAGCTCAAGAGACTGGCTGGCATTTTTTTTTTCTTTAACAGAGATTTTTTTTTTTTTTTGTCTTTTCAAGGGAAGTTTTGAGGAAAGATTAGGCAATGACCTTATCTTTAGTTTACCACCAAGAATACTCTCGGGATGGGTAAGGGGTGCTGCCATTTTGTTTGGTTTTGCGTGTCTTTTTTGTTTTCTTTTTTCACATTAGTCTTTCTTGATGATGATGCAAGTGTTGCGAAAGGAAAAATGTAAAAAACGCACCCCTCGAATTGCTTTGTTTCAGAATGCTTTTGCACCTTTGACTGATGCCAAGACTAGGAGCCACGCAGATGATGTGGGTCTCGTACTCTCTTCATTGCAGGCTAGTATATACCGAGGGGGATACAACCGTTTTGCTCCATACTAAATGACAAAAAAAACCAACAACAACAACAACAAATAAACAACAGAAAAACAAAACAAAAACCACCATTAAAAAAAAAAACACAAAAAAAAACCTTCCAATCAGGGGTGGGGAGAGAAGGAAAGGAAGGAGAAGCTACCGGAGGCCTGAGCATTGCAAGATGTGCAGTTGTGCATCACCTTAGCAACTCAAAAAATAAAAAAGAAGAAGAAAGAATAATAATAAAAAGTAATAAAAAAGAGGAAAAAATTACATTTTTTATCTTATACCTCAGATATTTTGTTCTGTGTATTTTAATATCGTGGGTCTTTCGTTTCTGAAGGTTCCATAGTTTGGTTGCTGGGCTGTAAGAACTTTCCTGGTGGATTCTAGAAAGATGCTAGAGATGAGGGTCAGGGAGAATAAAGAAAAAACAAAAAACACCTGGTATAGGGTCCTCTGCAGATTCTATCTTACGTACATGAATTACAGATGCCAAACATGGAGCTACTGGGGTTGTTTGGGAAGAGGGTAGGAGACTCAGCCGTCTTTCTTTGCTGCATCTACATTATTTTATTTTGCGAAAAGGGAGGCCAGGGGTAGAGGTAGGGGTAGGAGAAGGGAGGGGAGCTGGGGATGGGGATTTCTTTTTCTTTCGTCCGAAGGGAAAAACGAGTAACTGATGATCCACATGTCCCACTGCACCGACGACCATGTATCAATGGTTCGAAGTTAACCCATTGCCAGTCGAAGCCAAAGTTCCCATTGCTAAGGGGCTGCTTCTAGCAGTAAGCCGCATCAGAGTCCAATGAAGCTGTACAAACTCCCCTTAATTCATTCCACCCGCAGTGTTCCGCTTTCTCACTAGCCGCTAGTTACGTAGGCAACACCTTACTAGTTAAGACCATCCACAAGCATTCTTTTTATATTTCTTCCAATATAATAAATTATTGATATCATTGCCGACTTTTATATTATGGGAGGGGAAAAAATAACATTAATAAAAAGGTGATTAAAAAAAAGCACTGTTTCTATTTTTTTCTTTTTTTTCCAAGAAAAAAAAAGAGAAAGTAATAAAAACTTAAATTCTTTGTACCAGTTTAAAAAAAATATGTATAAAATTTACATCTGTGCAGTGGAGTTGTTAAGTCCTAGAAACAGTCCGAGGATCTTTAGTTTTAGCGTAGTGGAATAATTATTAGAGACAGACATATAATTTTTATGGAGTTACATGATACTCATATTCAGATTTATAGGCGCATTTTACAAGTATCGCAACCATTGAGAAATAGAGATAACCATGGTATTTTCATCAGCTTGGTACTTTTTGACACATGACTGCATTCTGTAAGCAATCTGCAATTTTTCAGCCCGTGAGAGCCTGCCCTTCCACCGTCTCCCTCCATTCCCCGGGGCTGTCTTCAGCCAGTCTCCAAGGTCCAGGACACTTGTTGGAAGGGAGAGAGGAAAAGAGGGAGGGGAAAAAAAATCTAGATTTTCCCTCTTCACCCCAAAGAACAAAGTTCCTCCCCCCCCAACCCCCCCTCCCACCCTTTCTGGTATATAAAGGGCCAGGGTAACACAGCTGGAAAAATTGCAGTTTGTCTGTACTTCTGTTTGAACTCTTCCTACGTTGTCTTGTTTACAAGTTACCTTACGTTGGGGTTATCTGTCACAGGTCTTCCTGTTTTTGTATTTAAATTAAAAGAGAAAAAAAATAAAAGAGAAAAAAATTAAAAAAAAAAAAAACCCACCACCACCACCACGGCAGCAAGCTGTCCCCTCCCCTCCCCCCCCCAGTAGTTTTGCTGCAGTACTGATGTACAGTGCTGGTCCCCAAGCACACACTTAGTTACCGACTCACGCTACAAACATGCCAATCCGCTGTATAACAACTCTGCTTTCAAACAAAACCAAACAAAACTTTAAAAAAAAAAATAACGATAATAATAATGATACTAATCAACCGTGTTTGTGATCCAGCTTTTCCATATCATCCTGTGTGCATGCTCTAAGATCAGTTGGATATTTAAAAAAAAAAAAAAAACCATCAATAAAGTTTCACAAGATTTGAAAACCCAAGTTTCTGTAGTTTCCATATCTAGGGCAAAAACAATGATAGTTATCTTGGAAAGAGAGGAGTCGGGGTGGGGTGGGGATGGGGAAGGCAGAGGGGAAGACAAGGTGAGGAACTGCTCCTAGGCCATTTTGGGTGGGGAAGGGAAGGGTCAGGCACATGTTCCAGCATGGGGTAGAGCTCCTCAGATTCCCCCACCTAGAAACCGTGATCATGGTGGCTACCCGGCTCTGACATCCAAGGAATCCATTTATGAGCCCCTCCTATTTCAGAGGGTTTACAGATGATAGGAATTGGGGGAGGGAAGGAAGGGGGTTGTGAAGAATCATTTCGATTTCTCCCAACTGCCTCGGGAATTCAAAATCCAAAATTTGCGATTGTTTGGAATCACAAACGTTAAGAATTCTTGGTGTGTTGGTTAAAAATTAAAAAAAAAAAATCATTTGCAGTTTTGATTTTCATCAATGAGCTGTACTTTTCCCCATGATTGTATGTAGTTTTAATAATTAAAATTAAAATCATTTAGAGTAAATGGGTACCAACTGATATCTCAGAATCTTTTGTCTAGGCGCTCTGCCAAGATTGCCAGTTAAGTCATTTTAAAATGTTATGTCAGAGATGTAAACAAACATTTTGGATTTTTTTAAATGGTATTTATTTGGAATGATTTCATTTATCTAAATAACTATTGCTATTATGAATTATGGGAAAAAATTACTACCATGTGTGGCATATAGTGACTTCTTAACACACATCATACAATCTGCAAACCCAGAAAAATGTGTATATCTGTCTTTAGAAATTAGTGTTTATATCACTTACAGTGGTTTGTGAATAAAGAAAACTGGTTTGTAATATCAAAAAATAAAAATAAAAGCTTAGTCTGAAAAGGTACTGGCTGAGTCAGTAGTCTGAGTTCTTTTGCTGTCACGGGTCTGAGGAGAGAATCCCAGTCCAGGGTAGAGTTGGTCAGAGGTTGGCTGTCTCCTCCTACGAACAGGCTGGTCTGTCGGAGCGGGAACTTCCTTTCTCATCTGTCCAATCGGAGGTTTCAGAGAGAAATTCTCCCTGTATGCCTGGCTACTCAGGAGGCTGAGATCTAAGGATCATGGTTCAAAGCCAGCTCAGGCAGGAACATCCAGGAGACTCTTATCTCCAAGGAAACACCAGAAAACCATGAGTGGTGCTATGGTTCAAAGTGGTAGAGCGCTTGCTTTGAGCAAAGAGAGCTCAGGGACAGCGCCTGGGCCCCTAGTTCAAGCCCCAGGGTGGGCACACAAAAAATCCACCACCCTTTTTAAGCTTGCTGAGATTCGCTTTCCAACCCTCCACCAATATCTGTCTTTGATTTAAAACAAAACACCGCCGCACTGTGCATTTTGAGTGAAACATCTGTT